CTCGGCGGCGGGGGGGGGGAGGAGGACGGACGGATTCTTCTCCTCGGCCGCTCTGTAGCGGCAGCGACCGAGGAGGAGAGAGAACTGATACGGCGATCGCCGCTGTAGAAGCGGCAGCAGTTCCCCCCTTGAAGTTCCACTCGCCCCCTCGCAACTTTCACTCGCCAATTGCGAGGGGGCAACAGACTCGGCGGCGGGGGGGGAGAGGAGGACGGACGGATTCTTCTCCTCGGCCGCTCTGTAGCGGCAGCGACCGAGGAGGAGAGAGAACTGATACGGCGATCGCCGCTGTAGAAGCGGCAGCAGTTCCCCCCTTGAAGTTCCACTCGCCCCCTCGCAACTTTCACTCGCCAATTGCGAGGGGGCGAGTGGAAATTTTGAGCCCCGTATATTATATATATTTTATTTTTACCCAGGTACAATAAGTATGAAACTTCAACCTTCTACACTGCTAAATGATTCTTAAAATAATACCAGTTTTTGTATAAATGCCAAAGATTTGACAACTTTATGGTCACCTGAAAAATGTAGGTACTTATGGTATTGCACTATACACAAGGAAATTACACTGAGCGAGGAACACACAGTGACAAGTAGAGTCTGTTTTTATTATTTCCATTAATTTACATTAAAAAAAACACACCATACTAAAATTGACTTTTTCATTAATAACAGTACAATGCATTGCTAATCATAAAATGCAAATGAACACAGTTTTTATTTTAGAACGGTAAATGCTCAAGACTGTTAATTTATTACTCCGCTATTATCCAGTCAGAAATGTGGAATTAACTGTGTACACAGGACTTTCCATATTATCATTTCACATTGCAGGGAAATAAAAACACAAAATAAAATACACAATACTACTAGACATTTGAAATAAAAACAATTGAAGCTTAGGGCTCATAACCTTTTTTTCTTCCTCTGTTGGCTTGGTAATTGGTAAGATGACAAGATATGAAGTATGTTATTTAGGGGATGTAAAAAACAGCCTTCATTTAAATAACCATATGTTCACTATGTATCTTTACCATCTCAATACCAATGATGTGCTGTACATAACTGCCCAAGATTAGGGACTACAAGAGGAACTGTGCTTCCAACCCGCAATCACAATTTTTTTCATCAGATGCAGACAAATCCAACATTTCACAGTGCAACCTGCCCAGTACTGGCACCATTTGTTCAGTGTCCCCTGATATCATAATGGCCATTCCAGTCACAGTACATTAGTAAAGGGTTCAGAAGATGCTGGAGGCACAGTCACTGCATGAGTAGTTCTTTATCCCAAATCTGTACTTGTATTTATAAATTTGAGGAGCGGGTGACAGGATAAATACCACTTTTGTTAAGTCTTGTCCCCCTTCAATGCTCAAGGTTACCTTTGTGATGCATTTAATACTGTAAATTTCTGGTTCATGTGCAGTGACTTATACGCTACATGTTGCTCCTAACAGTTAAAATGGGAATGACCTTGTTTTTTAGTGTGCGTTCTTTATATTTAACATCTCGCCCCACTACTTGTCATCTCTGAATGTATTCCATAATTCAATGAGAAAGATCAAAGTGTTGACACCTGACTATGGAGTCAAGGTGGTGCACCTTAAGCCAGTAGCAGAGTTGTACAATCTGACAGTGTATGGAGTAAAATAAAATATTCAAAAAAAAAAACAGTTAGAAGCCCAATTGGAAAGATAAGTGGCAGATTTCCTGTTCTATACCAACCAAGTATAACTATAAGCTGGTGCCATGATTCAGTGTATGTAGAATTCATCCCACATGTACTGAACTGTATATCGGGCAAAAATACCGATGTGCCAACATGACTCCAGAACAATTGCAAACCCTATGCCAAGATGTCTTGTTCACTTGCACAGACTAGTATCTACCTCTTAGAGCCTTTCTGCATTTTGCCATAAGGAACTGTAGACATATACTTCATGTGTCTACACAATTGGCCTGATTGAACTATAATAGATTTGCACCAATGTTGCTCTATTACAGCAGCATTCACTGCCTTACCTAAAGCAAACCTGTCATGTATGTGTTATCAGAAGCATAAAAATAGCATGTGCAAGCACCTCTTGTGCCTGGTTTTTAACATACACTATATTGCCAAAATTATTGGGACACCCCTCTAAATCATTGGAATCAGTTGTTCTATGAAATTTCCTTGCTACTAAATATTCCACGGTAAACTGTTAGTGGTATTATAACAAAGTGGAAGCAACAGCAACTCAGCCACAAAGTGGTAGGCCACATAAAATGACAGAGTGGGGTCAGCGCATGCTGAAGAGCACAGTGCGCAGAAGTCGCCAACTGTCTGCAGAGTCAATGGCTACAGACCTCCAAACTTTGTGTGGCCTTCAGATTGGCACAACAACAGTGCGTAGAGAGCTCCATGGAATGGATATACATCGCCGAGCAGCTGCATCCAAGCCTTACATCACCAAGTGCAATGCAAAGCGTCGGATGCAGTGGTGTAAAGCACGCCGCCGCTGGACTCTAGAGAAGTGGAGATGTGTTCTCTGGAGTGACGAAGCAGGCTTCTCTGTCTGGCAATCCGATGGACGTGTCTGGGTTTGGCAGTTGCCAGGACATCGGTACTTGCCTGACTGCATTGTGCCAAGTGTAAAGTTTGGTGTAGGGGGGGTTATGGTGTGGGATTGTTATTCAGGGGTTGGGCTTGGCCCCTTAGTTCCAGTGAAGGGAACTCTTAAGGCATCAGCATACCAAGACATTTTGGACAATTTCAAGCTCCCAACTTTGTGGAACAGTTTGGGGATGGCCCCTTCCTGTTCCAACATGACTGTGCACCAGTGCACAAAGCAAGGTTCATAAAGACACGAGCGAGTTTGGGATGGAGGAACTTGACGGGCCTGCACAGAGTCCTGACCTCAACCCGATAGAACACCTTTGGGATGAACTAGAGCGGAGACTGTGAGCCAGGCCTTCTCGTCTAACATCGGTACCTGAGCTCACAAATGCGCTTCTGGAAGAATGGTCAAACATTCCCACAGACACACTCCTAAACCTTGTGGACGCTTCCCAGAAGAGATGAAGCTGTTATAGCTGCAAAGGGAGGGCCAACTCAATATTAAAGCCTACGGACTAAGACTAGGATGCCATTAAAATTCATATGAGTGTAAAGGCAGGCGTCCCAATACTTTTGGCAATATAGTGTATTAGGTCATTCGTACTTCATATATAGGTCAGGTTAGGAAGCAGGATGAGAAGATTTTACCATTAAAACACTTAGGTTAGATCTGGTCATGTGTTCCTACACATAGATTAAGAATCCCTAAGCTTATATATTCAGAGGATGCTACATCATTAAATTAGGCTATGTTACTAAAACCACGTTGTGCCTGCATATAGAACAGCAGCATAAAGTTTTCACATAAGTGAATGACAAACCTAATGGCAGCATTTACAATAAATGTAATCCTAATATGTGGTATTTTCAATTGGGTTTTACAGCTAACCATGCAAAGTACATGTTTTGTGTGTCAAACTAAAAGAGGACTACTGCTTATTTAAGGTTTCAAAACCAGCACCCTCCATTTTCCAGACAGTAGGTACAAAATAATCTTTTTTAGAAGAGGGACAGTATGAAATTTGAGGGTCCATGAGCAAGCAACTCCAATACTCTGAAGTAGACAAGCCACTCCAAAGTTTTATAGAACTCAAATGAGAACAGCAAATGGAGAGCCAACAATGTTACTGGTCTGGAGCAGGGCATTAAACATATTAGTTGTTTTTATTCTATATGGCACATATAATGTGTCCACTACTACTGTTGTTAGGTCTAATATAGCCCCGAATTAAATACATGTAAAAATGAGCATATTGTTCAGAATATAAAGGCAAAATCCATTTAAATTAGTTCACAAATCTATTTTTAGCCCTCAATTGTCACTTTTACTGCTTTCTATGCCCCC